TTTACATAGGAGAAATATGAATTCTTCCTTCATTTAAATTCCTTCCCATTATAAATATTAACTCGAATTAACTATATATTTTCAGATATTATTTAACATATAATTACAAAATAATAATTTTAAATTACTACTTTTTATAGATTTTGAACACTCAATAAAAAAGAAATACTAAACGAACCACAATATGAAATATGACTAAGAAATTTATTAACACTGACGGAAATATTAAAAGATCATTACATACTTTATTTCTTATATTTACAAGTAAGATAGTGAATAATATATTTCATTACACGTAATTTCAAAGCGCTCTAATTCCTTTCTATGCTTAGAAAAAAACGTATATGTAATAAATATACTATTTTATCATATATCAATATTACTCTATACAACGGGAAGAAAATGTCATGGTCACTTAGAACACTTGTCAACACTGTACAAAAAGTTCTGGCGGTTTCGAATTAAAATTCAAAAATGTAAAACCAGGGTACTGAATGCTCCCTTTACTACCTTTTTAATACACGATTCATTGTTCAACTAGTTTACTCGAAATATAATTCGCATTAAGTTCAGATCAATATGATAATTGAAATGTATAGTCGCAGGCGGCAGGCAAATATTGATTATGAGAAAAGCAGCAGGTAACAGGTAACGTGTTTCAGATATGTAGATATCATTCACAGTCAAGGGAAATTGTGTGGTTGAGTATCAACAATGTTTAAATCGCCATTGTTTTCTTGTGTAATATTTTTGCTTTTATTCACACAATTAGAAACTAAAATTCTTCGAGGACGCTTGATTACACGTGAAGTACTACAAATTTTCAATTAATCATCACCCTTACTGAATTTTCAATTAGCATATATCTTTTTTACAAATCTTCCAATATTCTATGATATTTCTAGCATTAAACATTTTATTAATGAAGAAAAATTGTTTTTTTTTTTTTAGAATTGGGCATTTTTAGCGAGATTCTGTTTTTTAACAGAACATGGTACATTTCGGTATGATTTCGAACTAAGTGGCGAAGAAAAAAATTTGGAACTATTATTGTACTATGATGCGCCCGATCAATGGCCTAGCGTTTATCTTTCAAATAAAACATGTATGGAAAGGGAAGAAATACTTCAGGATGGAATTGGTCAAATAGTACCATTATCAACACTTATACCGGTACAATCTGGATGTAGAGAAGAAGATTCGGTAGTGCGATGCACCAGCTACCGAAGATTTCGATCATCTCGCCCGAGATGGTGGTTCATCGCGTTAGCTGATTGTGCTTCAGAGAATGGACTGAATATTTCGTATTGGATATCGTTAACAAATGCACAACCTAGCAGTTTTTGGAGAGAACACTTCTCAGCAGATGAATTCTGCAAGTAACTTCGTCATTGTCCAAAGCAGTTTAATATGTTGTTTAACTAAATCCATTTTTGTTTTAGATATATTACCAGAGTTAATAGCAATTGGCAGTATATACGTTATACTTGTAATACTAAGTTTCTACATAGCAGTACAATTGAGGGCAAGACGGCTGTTACACGTGTCTTATAAAATTTTTATGGCTTCTTTACTTTCCCAATTAATAGGAATACTGTGTGAAATTTATAGTTACATGAACCTTGGCTTAAAAGGAGTGGCATCTGATCATGCTTCCTTGATTGGTCAACTTTTAGAAGCCTGTTCAGATATTCTATTTACTGTACTTATGTTACTACTCGCGATTGGTTTTACGGTGACAAAAAGTGTTCTTACAGGGAGACAAGTTCGATGGATTATATGCTTTGTGTGTTTTACTTCTTTCTTTCAGTTTTCGTTATACATTTATCAGTCCGATGTATTTGATCCTGGATTGGTATTGTACATTTATGAATCACCACCAGGATATATGTTAATAGCTTTAAAGCTAATTGCATGGATTGTCTTTTCTCTTCGTTGCATGAAGACAATCAAAAAAATGCAAACAAAACTTCATTTTTATGGTTCATTATTTTCCTTGGGATCAGCGTGGTTTTTATGTCATCCGCTAACGGTATATATTCAACACAGTTTACACAAAGTCGTTGTAAATAGTTTTTTAATTCCTCTGCAATGTAATTATTATTTCATAGGTACTCTGCATTACTTTATTGGTAGATGATTGGATAAGAGAAAGTGTAGCAAAAGGATGTTCACTATGGATTGTCTTTGTGGGACATGTAGTATTTTTGTTCATCACTCGGCCATCTATGGCTAACAAACGGTTTCCATTTCATATTAGAACATGTCAAGTAATGCCAATTGGTGGTGATGGACAAGACCACAGTTATGAACCTCGTCTTAGAACAACGAATGCCGCATTTACTATTTCACATTTACCACCACCTATTCCCTATCAGTGACTACACTCTAAAATAGGTGACGATTAATGTAGCTATGATTACATAATAATTCTATTTTTATTAATATTTTTGTTATACTTTGAAAACATAAATATGAATTTTTACTTGTATATAGAATTACTTCTCTTATCAGAGGAGTAGATGTAACAATTAACTTACGTAATATTTTATATCACATATAGGTCACTTTTAAACATTTAAAATCATGAGAGATCATAAATCATTATCAGTCACAAGACCCATCAAGCCAACCATCTCTCCATCTTTGATTAATAAGAGTACAATCGAATTTTGGTTTTCCAATTTTCTTGTTTACCTCATTATGTATGTCACAAAGCCAACTACTCAATGTTTTTTGTGAGTCAGTTTGTGGTGGAGACTGTTTTAACTGTTCTCGTAAATCTTCTGCACATACATAACAAGGATAAAACTGAGAAAATGAATAAAAGAACTGCTTCATATATGACTTTTGTGCATCACTTGGATGATCAGGATAATATGCTGCCATGGTATGTAACATTGCCCATGTTTTAGAGCCTAATTCATCCTTATCTAAAGGACAATCATCACGTTTAATTTTATTATTTACAGATTGATTTTTCTCTTGCTTTTTCTCAGATTCCTGTTAAAAAAACAAACACATATAAATAAAAAATGGAAATATGAATATTAACTTGTATACATTTTGTATAATTATGTAATGTATTTTTTACTATTTACACACTATTGTGGAAGAATAAATTTTCTAAACATCTGTAACCTATCTATGTTATACAAATGCTATCAATTTCGAATATGATATCCAATTATTAAATAAGAAGAAAATTCATGTCATCATTTATGCTCAACCAGTTTGTATGCTTTTGAATTTCTTGTATTCAACCAATTAGGACATCATATTCAACTACTTTTGACTTTAACTTCATTAAAAAGTTATATAAAACATTATCTCTTCATCTATCATTTTCAAAACTATTCAATATTTAGGAAACATTTGTATTCACGAAATATTATGTACAGTAAATTCCCTCCAATTCTCCATCAACTCATGATTATTTGAGTCTCGTTGCTCGTTTTTGTAGTTTTTGACAATCAGTGACTATAAAAATGAACAGCGAGGCTTGAATAATTGGAGAGAATTTACTGTAATCTTTGGAATCAAGTACATAAATTTAATTTAAAACATTGTTCCGAATGACAAATAGTTTGATATCAAATTAAATAAAAACATAAACAACATATGTACATCTTATTATAGAGTAAACTATAATTTATATAAAACTTTTAATTCAGAAAACGTCAGTTTCATACCTTCTCAGATTCAAACGTCTTCTTTTGAATCTTTGCCCACGTTTTGAAGTCTGTGCACACGCGACAGGGTTTTTCATGCGACATCGTGTTAAAGGCACCTTACACATCCGTAAAAACGTGTATAAAATGATGCGGTGATTAATATCCTCACGTAGTTAATAACCTGTTCAATGGAATTGTAATGTAAGTATCTGTTACAAACAGAAATCACCATGTAAACGTCCAGTATTTCACCTGATCTCTATGCGGTAACGAGTATTGTCTGAATAAATCACAATTAGTAAAATTTACTATAAGTATTCCACATCGATATAATATATACCTGTATACATAACACCTTACGCCTCTGTTTCAGATAAGAATCTACGTGCAATAAATACTTGAAGTTACGAAAGAGAAGCGGAGTCAGAGGGATTTAAAGCGTGCATTTCTCTCACGTTTGTATAGAGTGAGTAAAACGGTGAGCAAAAAGAAGACGAAAGAAAAAGGTAGTGCGACTAACCTGATCCGAGCGCAGTCAGCGGGTGACAAATGTCAAGTGCAGTTTTGACTGCACCGCAAATGATACGATTGTCGGTAAAGTTGATCCTTCGTGTAGATGATGGCGAATCATGAAAAAAAGAATGAATGTCCTCGGTCAACGTCGAAAAAAGTAAGATGGTACCTCAGAGACATGAAATTCTCGTCGTCGTCGTCTTCCGAAGAGGAGGTGGCTACGGGATGTGACCCACAACAAGGTTAGATTTCGTTACATTTGTCAAGGTACTTACCTAACAACGAGTGTTATCCTATTCTTCCTTTTTTGTAGGGCAAGAAGTGTCGCGACGCGAAGTGAATCCATTCAGTTTCAAACATTTTCTTAAAAACTCACAAACAAATTACTGTGCTGGTGGAGCTCGTCCAAGGATTTATACTTCTCCACCACCAAGTCCCAATAAATTGGAAAAGGATTCTACAGTTTACTCCCGTAATCCAACGGAACTACCAGACTTCGTGCAAGATCACCTGGTTTTAGAACAGTGTTATTTGAACCATGAAGCTACTCAACAAAATACTTCCGACGTAGATAATTTGCCAGACTTTACACTAAACAGTGTAGAACAAAGACAAAACAGACGCAGAAATGAATCTGAAGAAAGTGAACCTATTTTACATGATTATCCCTTCGATCTGACTGGAAGTATAGCTAAGACATTACCATCTAATAATCAATCTCCACCAAATGCAAGTTGTTCTGCCCATTTAAATTTCTGGGCAGAACGCCCAGAATCATCAGGTAAGTGTGAAATATTAGATTTTTTAAATAATTACGAATAAGTAAACTTTATACATACATGTAACTTCTCATCATTCAGGGTTTCCATTAGATTTACCAATACTTGGGGCTGAGCCTGATTCAAGTCCAAACATAGCGGCTCAGGTAGCTCAGCTAGCTAACTTAGCTAGCTCAGGACCGAGTGAAGCAAGTGTCCCAAAATCTTTACCAGATTTTTTGAACGATGATCCTATTCATAATAAAACAACAATCTCTACAGGCTCTGGCCCTATTTCAAATAGTATAGACTCTACAGAAAGAAGGGTACGATTTATATAGAATTTTCTTAATTAAAGAATACTTTTAATTGATGCAAATTAAAATTGCTTACAGTTATTATTAGAAAATGAAAAATTACGACACGAGCTAGAACAAGCAAGAAAAGAAATCAATGAAAAATCTAAAAGGTAAGTCTAATCATATTAATATCAACTCAATTTAATTGCATGATTTACATCTGTTATGTGCATTACAGAATACTAATATTAAAAGCAGAACTGACTTCTAGAAGAGATGTAGAACAAGAAGAAGCAGCACATCTAGAGAAAGCTATGGAACAGGTTGAAGATAATTTAAAACGTAGTACAGTGAGTATAAGATTATATTTTTACATTTTATTCTTGCGTGTTTGAATCTTTTTCTTTGCAGAGAAGAGTAGTGAATGCAGAAGGCACCATCACGTCATTAAAAAGACAAATTAAAGAATTAAGGTTGGAGAATTGGGAACTTAAAAATAGAACAGAAATGGGACATAGAGTGCAATGTGATTCCCCAAACGTAAATCAAACAGTAAGAAGGCTAGCCAATGATTTAAGAAATGCTGCTTCATCGGCGGAAATATCATTAAGGTAAAAATATATTTCACTAAGACATTATATATACCTCCATATATAAAAAGAATTTTAGTTGTATATTGTATCTTAATATATTTGCAGACAGCTAATGTCCGGTGTGGACAATTTAAGAGTACTAGCTTCTACGCTTGAAAATGTAGATAAGATAGAAGATTCGACCAAAGATTTTCTATCAGATTTTGATAAAGATAACTCATGAAGCTACTGGTCCTACACCTTAATACAGTTTTATGTACTCCTCTGTCTATACACTACCCCTTGTGTCACTTTCTCTCTTATATACATCCCAGCCGATGCTATTAAGTTCCTGGAGCTCACGCGACTGCGTTGAGTATTCTTCTGGAGTCGATTAGTGATTTGATTCAATTGCCAGGCACGATGTCCACATTATGTTTGTTGTATCTACATGTGTTAATGATAGCTGTCGTATTTCGAGTCACGGTATAATCACAAATACGAAACGACTATAAACTATTATCCTTGCTTCATTTTTCCATTATAAATTATTTTCGTTTTAAATCTTATTTACAATGTCTAAGTTTCACCGCTATTTTGTTATTAATTACGTTTATATAAATGCTTTTTTATAGATCGATAACATTATTAAAAATGAAAGTCATCTATTATTTATAATTATTAATGCGTTAAATGTTATTTTAATTTTTAACAACAAACATGCGTAAAAATGTGGTTTACGTTGATCCATCACGATATGACTCTCAGAAAACCATTAAAGATTTTAACTTTTATACATACGCTTTGTCAGAGATTTGTAAATGAAAAGCACTGGTTGGGATTCACAGTACTATTCCAATGTAATTGTTAAGAAAAATGTTACTCTAATGGTCATTGTAACAATGTTACGTGTACAGTTTCAGATAACATGATCCATTTCTTTGTACATGTCAGCTAGGTAATTAGATTTGAAACAGACAAGATTCTTCATGTATTTTTCTATTTAAGGGGGTACATGACTCTTGAGTCTCGGAAAATGTGAATCTCTTAAATAAGGCTGTAATTATAATAAATCAACGATTAAATATGTTTTTTTAAGTGCTGTATGATATACAGAGTGTATCCTTTTAGAATAACCATTATTTTTCAGATATTTTCAAAAATCTACCAAAGATGTGTTTTGTATAAAAATTAGGTACTCTTCTGTGATCGTGACTCTTTAAAATTGACTTTACAAAGTTGTAGCTGAAACGAATTCTACAATTTACTATACCTTTACCTTCAGATGACTTTAAATTCAGAAATTTAGGTTTAATCAACAGAGAAACTATTATTGTTATCGTTATATTAGCCTACTAGTTTTATTACTTTTTTGTGAATATGTAACTTGATTAAGAAATAATCAAATAATTTTCCATACCATTGTTTTTGTTAATCAAACNTCAGATATTTTCAAAAATCTACCAAAGATGTGTTTTGTATAAAAATTAGGTACTCTTCTGTGATCGTGACTCTTTAAAATTGACTTTACAAAGTTGTAGCTGAAACGAATTCTACAATTTACTATACCTTTACCTTCAGATGACTTTAAATTCAGAAATTTAGGTTTAATCAACAGAGAAACTATTATTGTTATCGTTATATTAGCCTACTAGTTTTATTACTTTTTTGTGAATATGTAACTTGATTAAGAAATAATCAAATAATTTTCCATACCATTGATTTTTTTAATCAAACTTACATTTCTGAAGTGAAGTCTAAAATTTTTTTTAAAAGTCAGGCTTGGCTTGATATTTTTATGAAAAACATAACTTGATTTTTGTTCAAATCATTTCCTTCACAGATTATTCGAAATGCCTAAAAAATGGTGGTTGTAGAATCAGATTTTTAAAAGATACGGCAGAGGTTTTTAAAAAAATGACATACAAACAGTACCATAAACTTAAACTTAAATATTCTTTGTTTTACAAACATATAACAAATTATTAAACAAAAATTCCAAAGGTACATTCTACTATTCTAATAAAATGTTTTATACCTATAACATACAAGAATGTTTTTTTAACGTGCAGTACTTTTCTACTCTTACAATTTTTGATTATCAAAATTTGAAATTACCATTAATGCCTTTGTATAGTTAATAGTTGCTACATCTGTCTCTTATACACATCTCAAGAATGTTTTTTTAACGTGCAGTACTTTTCTACTCTTACAATTTTTGATTATCAAAATTTGAAATTACCATTAATGCCTTTGTATAGTTAATAGTTGCTACATCTGTCTCTTATACACATCTCAAGAATGTTTTTTTAACGTGCAGTACTTTTCTACTCTTACAATTTTTGATTATCAAAATTTGAAATTACCATTAATGCCTTTGTATAGTTAATAGTTGCTACATCTGTCTCTTATACACATCTCAAGAATGTTTTTTTAACGTGCAGTACTTTTCTACTCTTACAATTTTTGATTATCAAAATTTGAAATTACCATTAATGCCTTTGTATAGTTAATAGTTGCTACATCTGTCTCTTATACACATCTCAAGAATGTTTTTTTAACGTGCAGTACTTTTCTACTCTTACAATTTTTGATTATCAAAATTTGAAATTACCATTAATGCCTTTGTATAGTTAATAGTTGCTACATCTGTCTCTTATACACATCTCAAGAATGTTTTTTTAACGTGCAGTACTTTTCTACTCTTACAATTTTTGATTATCAAAATTTGAAATTACCATTAATGCCTTTGTATAGTTAATAGTTGCTACATCTGTCTCTTATACACATCTCAAGAATGTTTTTTTAACGTGCAGTACTTTTCTACTCTTACAATTTTTGATTATCAAAATTTGAAATTACCATTAATGCCTTTGTATAGTTAATAGTTGCTACATCTGTCTCTTATACACATCTCAAGAATGTTTTTTTAACGTGCAGTACTTTTCTACTCTTACAATTTTTGATTATCAAAATTTGAAATTACCATTAATGCCTTTGTATAGTTAATAGTTGCTACATCTGTCTCTTATACACATCTCAAGAATGTTTTTTTAACGTGCAGTACTTTTCTACTCTTACAATTTTTGATTATCAAAATTTGAAATTACCATTAATGCCTTTGTATAGTTAATAGTTGCTACATCTGTCTCTTATACACATCTCAAGAATGTTTTTTTAACGTGCAGTACTTTTCTACTCTTACAATTTTTGATTATCAAAATTTGAAATTACCATTAATGCCTTTGTATAGTTAATAGTTGCTACATCTGTCTCTTATACACATCTCAAGAATGTTTTTTTAACGTGCAGTACTTTTCTACTCTTACAATTTTTGATTATCAAAATTTGAAATTACCATTAATGCCTTTGTATAGTTAATAGTTGCTACATCTGTCTCTTATACACATCTCAAGAATGTTTTTTTAACGTGCAGTACTTTTCTACTCTTACAATTTTTGATTATCAAAATTTGAAATTACCATTAATGCCTTTGTATAGTTAATAGTTGCTACATCTGTCTCTTATACACATCTCAAGAATGTTTTTTTAACGTGCAGTACTTTTCTACTCTTACAATTTTTGATTATCAAAATTTGAAATTACCATTAATGCCTTTGTATAGTTAATAGTTGCTACATCTGTCTCTTATACACATCTCAAGAATGTTTTTTTAACGTGCAGTACTTTTCTACTCTTACAATTTTTGATTATCAAAATTTGAAATTACCATTAATGCCTTTGTATAGTTAATAGTTGCTACATCTGTCTCTTATACACATCTCAAGAATGTTTTTTTAACGTGCAGTACTTTTCTACTCTTACAATTTTTGATTATCAAAATTTGAAATTACCATTAATGCCTTTGTATAGTTAATAGTTGCTACATCTGTCTCTTATACACATCTCAAGAATGTTTTTTTAACGTGCAGTACTTTTCTACTCTTACAATTTTTGATTATCAAAATTTGAAATTACCATTAATGCCTTTGTATAGTTAATAGTTGCTACATTGCTTAAATTTTTTAAGTTTGAAAATAATGTGAAGGAATGTATCTATATTTAAAAAGCTTCAAGGCTTATCTGCCCCCTTAAAGTTTAAAATGAGAATTAATGACATTACTCGTAAAGCAGTTTTCAAATTAACAAATTTATTGATAAGTTACATATAACAGAATTACATTGCCTGCAATGTGTATTTTTTTATTCTGGCAACATATGTGTATAAATTATATTTAAAAATTGTGGCAGTGTGAACACTGTAATACAGTAAATTTAAATAATTATTTTCTTTAAGAAAATATAATATTTTCATCTATGCATATATTTCATGAACAGATTGCACATACACAGGAACTCAAATAATTAATTTATAACAAAATATACAAAATACCAAAGTATGAAACAATAATATAAAAACCTAATTTTAGTCTATAATATAAAATGCATACAATATTTTTCATAAATATTATTTATTATACTGTTGTTCAGTATAATAAAAAAATGAAATTAATACCTCATTATTGAAGACCTTCAAAAATACTAAGTAAGTCAGTTTGTGTTTCAGTATGACTAGTTTGTGTACTTAACCAGGAGCGACATGCGCCCATTGAAATGTTGCATCCAGTTTCACATATCAATGATTTTGTTTGCGTTTCTGTAGAAACAGTAGTATCCTCAAGTTGAGTCCACGCTGTTTGCGTCTGAATATTAGACAATCCTAAATCAGATGGTAGTATTTCATTACATGTCTGTGTGCATGTATTACTATACAACAATTGTTCCATATTGTCTAAATTGTTTGTTGTTTGTGTTTCAATGTTAGAACTTAATGCAAACGATCTAGTTAAGGTATCTGAATCAAAAAACGATTGTGAGTAATCTTGTTCAGTCTGAGTCTCTATACTGCTGAACTTATCGTCAAAAGTTTTATCTATAAGCATTGGATCTGATCTTGATATACTATTCGAAGATACAAATGAATAGCCTTCAACAGTCGTGGATGTGTCTTCTGCATAAGGTAATGTCATTAGAGCGACTGTACTCTTTGGAACACACTGTATTAGTGGATTTGTACTATGCTCGTAGAATGTCTCAAATTCTGTTTGAGTTACATTGTCATTTAAAACTTCAAACATGTCTTTTTCAGGTATCGTTTGAGTACCTGAGGTACTCTTTTCTTCCCAAAAATCTTGCAAACCAACATCATGACGAAGTGGCAATGGACTACTAGGGAACAAGTTTGGAGATGTAAAATTTTCCAGATTCAGATCTTCCTTCAACAGTGTATAATCAGAATTCTGTGATACAGAGGTCTTTTTACGCTTCTGAATCTTCAGTGAACTCTTAAACACTCTTGAAGCTTCTGTGGTCTGTGTCTCCATGGACATAACATTTTGTCGAATTTTTGGAGAAATACTTGTCTGCGTCTGTTTAGATACACCACGTTTTCCATTCTGATGATAGCTACTGTTGATATGTTTTAATGGACTCAATAGTCTTTTATTTCTCTTATACTCATCTGTTTGTACACCAATATCCATAGTACTTTTCTGCTTGGATTCATTATTATTGTTGGATACTTTATTCTCATTTTGATTTGTTGGTAGGATTGTAATTAGCTTATTTATACCAGTTGGATTAATTTGTAGGATCGAACGAACTGCTTTCGAATTTGTACGTCTGTAAAAGTATTAAGTTTACAATATAAATTGATATCATAGTTATAAATAGACTCTTGGCCTTTCTTTGTAACCAGCTTACCTAGATGAATTTTTATATTTGTCATTTATGGTGTGCAAGGATCGTTTTGCATGTGTGAGTAAAGCTTCATAAGAAGTGTAAATTTTAGAGCAAGAACATGTGAATTCGATTCCACATACTCTCATGTGACCCTCTTTAGCTGCTTCAGTGGAAAAGCTTTTTTCGCAACGAGTACAAGCATACATTTTTTTTGCATGTACTTTAAGGTAATGCTAAATATACATTGTAAATTATAATTCTTGTCATAATATTTTTATAACGATACTTACCTGTTTAAGATACTTCATGCTAGTAAAATATCTTTCGGCATTCGGCGCATAAATGCAGGACTCAACAGGACAACGATATTGTACACTTTCTTTGATTATTTTATCTAAATTTTTACGCTGATGCACCTTAAGGTCATGTAATCGATATCGTGGCTCGTTTTGAAATACAAGTCCACATTTTACACACTTGATGTTGTTTGTGATTACGCTGAGCTCTTCAGCCGACGGGCAAATAGTTTTAATAGACCTCGAAACATTTTCTGCCGGTTTTATGCTATCCATCGGAGGTTATCTTAACACGGCACTCTTGAACGGTAGGCAAATTACCGCCGTTCAGGATGACTGATCCAATCGATTCCCATATACACAAGTGTGTATGTATATGTTACGCACACATGTTACAAACGTTCAGTGACTCTTGTTTTGCGTACAGTGCTACATACAAGTAGGTTTTAGTATAGTGAGTTACATTGCAATATGTATGTAAATATGTGTGCACAATGGAGTTTCTTTAAATTTCCCTCCGAGATGTCGAATTTTCCGATCTCTTTGACATCGTGTTTCCTATCCCCACCATTCCATTGCGCATTCAAAATTACGCATGCTGTCAAGAAAAAGAAGAAACTACACTACGTACTACAGTAATGGGATCTACTCCGCACGTTTTTCTTACTCCCTAAGCTGACGCGCGCATCCTCATCATTTTACTGCACACCCAATCCGCAGTAGATTCTGTCTCAGCAGTGAATCATCAGCCAATCAGAGCAAAGAAGATTTCTATATTGACACTTGCTACGGATTAAGTTGCGACCCGGAGGTGTGCAGATCCCATTACTGTATGTATATACATACATATGTATGTATTATACTACATATAAAAAAGAGAAATAGGAGACAGGACACAGCAAGCGAAATTTTATGTGACGTACATATATGCACATATATACTTACACACATATGCATGTGTATCCTCTTCTCAATTTCTAACAGACTCTATTCTTCTTTGATTGCAAAATAAGCACAGTCGCAATGGCGTCAACCAATCGGAGCAAAGAGAAACTTTTTCCACCCTTTCTAACATCGTGTTGTGTCATTTGAATAGCGTGGCGCCACGAAAGAGAAAATTTTGTACCTTGTAAACAATAGTACCCCCTCAATAAACATACTTTTTGTTTTAATGTCCATATCATCTCATTGTGAGCAATCACCTCATTGTCAGCATTTTGAATGTAACTCACTTCCAATTGAATCAAAGTTTTAAACAAAGTGCCATTTTTCTATAAAAATATATATGTATGTAACTAGAACTTCCTTTGGAAAAACTATTGAATCCAATACTATCACAATTTATGTTAATAGACTTGTCGAGGAACTTCATGTAAGATACAAAAGAATTGTTTCAAAGGATAAATTTAATTTAATGATGGTTATTTTGAAAACATTTACATATGAATTGTTTGTAGTTATTCCTTACAAATATAACAAGAAATTAAACAGAATTGTCTTTTAAAAGAACACTAGCTCTCAATGCAGGCTCATTCCCTCCAGAAATGTACTCTTCAATTTGGAAAGGAAACATTTCGTGAAGCTATGTGTACAGAGTATAGAGCAATGTCAACGAACCGTAATATCGTTCGATTAAACACGTTTATATCAACTCACTAAGCGGGAAAATTGTGAATAACCAACGACTTTATTCTATTACTCACATACGGCTACGCTGTTCTGCTCCCAAAACATACCCACCCAGTTATCGTAACATGAAACATTTATAGCCTATTTATTCAATAAATTTATGATTTTATGTATTTATTTCGAGTAAATCAATAATCTGTCATGTGCATTCATTTTTGCAATACATTGTTTCCGTAGATTCTAATATTTTCATTTCTAACGCAGTTTGAATATTTTACACCATTCAAGGCCATAGAATCTCTCAAGCCAAAGTGTGTTACAACTACGCTAAAAAGTAGAATAACATTCTTGCGCGCACAGGAATATTGATTTTTCGATATCTTCTGCATTATTTACTATCGTAAATAAACCACAGGTCCATTGCCACGGATTAATAATTAATTAGATCAATTATCAAAAATATCGGTTTATCATGTTGTCGAATCAATAACCATGAATTTCAACAATGTTGACTAAGCGAATGCCGTGAGTAAATTTGGAAGTACAGTAGGTTTAAAATGTTGTGCTGCATCGCCGTGTTTGCTTGACACGTCCTGGTAATTGAAAAGACATCAACTATAATGAGAAAATACGAACTTGATTTGAAAATATCTTGAATATGGATGACCATCTACAATTACGTCTCTAAGTAACTTAAAATTTAGATGATCACTATAATTCCACAAAGTTTCATCAAAATCGGTGCGAAATGTACATGTGGCCCCCTTGTAAGGTCGTCGTACGCTGGATCGACACAGTCTGCTCCACTTCTAATACATTGACTCGAAACGAGTTTGTATACACATACGTGTAGACACACGCGCATCAAGCGACATCCATAGCTGCTTTCCCAGATCAGTACCAGCTCGGTACGAACGGCGCTGCCCGCTACACTCGCTGTCATTCGGCACTCGGCTCGGCAGTTACACGTCAACCGATCGTCGCGTGTTTCCAGTCCCCTTTTTGTATGAGTGCATAACTGCGTACAGAATTCCACGGCGAAGACGAGACTACTCGATCATTCTCCAAGATACGATTCTCGGTTTCGCGCAGGAAAATTTGTACTTGTGAATCGTTTCTCAATCGTTTCGCCTGGCCACGCATCGGGGCTCAATTCTCCGACGTGCCTCGGATATTAAAAGGGTTATCCTAAGGGTAGGATATTTTTATTGAGAATTCTCAAAACACTCGTGCTCCTCTTTGTGTTTGAAATGGTGCAAAGATTTCTTTTATGTTTGCATATGATCGTTGTGAACACGTCACTATTGATTTGTAATAACGTATACTACCCCTGACTGAAAGTATTTCACTGAACTGGATAGATGCCCGTTAAAACAATTATTTAGGCACTATATTCGAGTTTGTTCAATTTATCTCATTAGATTTTAAATTGAATGTATCATCAAAATTCGGAGAATAATGTTCTACATTGTTACAGAGTTCTTGACATCCACCAATGTCAAAATAATAGTACAAGTAAATAACATGGTTGCATATCTATTCATTACTGTATGATTGCATTATTGGTATTCATCCTTGTAGACTTTGATCATGGTACATTATTCTTCATAAGTCAATATGAAATTATAGTTAATCATATCATTCGAAAATAGGTAATACTGCACAATTATTAAGATTCATTAAATAGAATAACATTAACTACTTGAATTTAGGGAGCATGCGTATTAACCGAATTCTGGAATTCCATTTTCTCATAATCGATGATATTTCGATTACTTCACAAAATACTTTTATTGCATGCTTTTCGCTTTTTTTTATACTAAATATTATTTCGTTTTTTATTGTATCAGAAATTATGGCGTGTCCTGTTATAATACGTTACACTCTGAAAGTTATCTAACTTACGTGCGTGCTAACTATGTACATTATCGCTTGTCATGAATAAAACGATCATTTTATAATTTGTTGGTAACAAATCGGCAAAGGCAGATAAAAATACTTACACATTTTCATTATCATTTGATAACATTCTTGTCACTATAAGATTATTTCATTGCCACCTATATCCTATTTTGATTAGACAACATTTTTTTTATTCGATAGTACATACTTCTCTTGCCTGAAATGATAGTGTAGGGAATCATTATCAAATCCGTCAACTATTTGAACTGTTTGGATTGATGTGTAAATTAAATAAATTATTATTTCCTGTATATGTATATATAGACTGATTGTTTTACAATACTTTCATAGCTATCATCATTAACTATCCTCGGTTATTTAAGGAAGTCTCTACCGATCTTTGATACTCAATACTTGAATTAAAGTACCGTTTTCTCGGCTATGACACATTCGAAAATTCTAGAGAAGCGTTAGATGTTCTTTTTTTCATTTGACCTTCGCGTGACTAGAAATCGGCAGAACACTTAACCTCCCCGAACGCACGGCACACGCTCAATGCTCGTTCGTTGCCGTTTTGACAGGAATTCAGTCGGACCATGAACTATGTCTTTCCGTTTTTCGAAACGGTGAAACCGGATTGACAAATAACAGTCGACTTGAAAATTGTTAGGCGAAGTTTCCGCAGGATCACAAGCACGATTCGAAAAAAGGAAAGGAGCACAGTACTGTGAAACTGGTTGCCGACCAGCAGGGATAGGAGAGAGAAAGGGAGACAGATCTTGCTAGAAGAAATGAAAGACACGGCGGGTAAGAAGTATCAACAGCTTTTTGACGACATCAACACGATACTGCATAAGTTGGATGTTAACACGGATAAGGGAAGCGACGAGGATGCAGTATTGAAGGAGGTAGGAATTTTTGTTTTTTTAGTACATTAAGTACATTAAGGTAATGTTATAATCTTTTTATTTGCATCATTAAATCGGAATGTAATATTAATTCTCTATGCTTTTCCCGAAGCTTTGCCTTCCCGCTAACAATAAGATCAATGACCGATTTGGCATACAATATTACCCCTTTAACAATGAAAGAAACGTTAATATTATTAGATTATATCTTTTGTTTAGTGAAATTATAAGTTTATCAACGTACAAATATTACTCCAAATATTACTCCATGTATGTTGAAAAGTTATTAATTTTTTTATTTATAAAAATATGATTTATTGTTTTTAACAATAAGTTATTGATTTCGACTAATCTTAGTGACGATTGCATTGCGATAATATGTTATTTCCTTAGAGTGTGTAACAGTTAAATTATTAAATCACTCTTTTACTAACGCTATTTCCTCAAACATTGTGAAGCAATAAATCGTTCAAGGAAATCAGTCAGCTGCGTATTTTTCGCTAATAACGTTTCACGGTCACGGACTATTACGTCACGTTGTCAACTAATATTATTTGATGATATTCTTAATTAATAAATAAGATTATGATTCTAAAAATGGACCATAATATAGAACAGTTGGATTATGAATTCTTCACCTGTTCGTTGATGTAAACAGTACGGTATTCAAGGTCGCAGGGACTCTGATGTAGTTATTCTACGCAAATCATGCAGCTGGTTACTAATCTAGTAAAGTTAAAATTATCCTTTGGAAAAATGTAATCATATAAAATATTTTTTTGTCTGTTATTGATACTCAAACAATGGACAATTCTTCAAAATGAAAACAAAATTTCTGGAAAGTTGAATTAGCATTAGTAAAATATTAAAATTAAAATATCATCGGAATTTAATGTAATAAAAGATATACTTTATATAATAAAGTAATAGAAGTCTTTAACTTTATTATAACCGTAACCTATTCGAGTGTTTCGGTATCGATCCGAAACTTACCCTGCCAACAAAACCAACTAGAATCGCTATTCTTGCCTGCAAATCTACATGTAGCTAATACTTTTTCATTTTTTCTTAATAAAATATCCTGAACATTGTCAATTGAACAGCTCGTGTAATTATCTACGCGAACGGTAATTTTCTACTATTATAGTAGCTTAGGACACTATAGTACTAGTTTAAATTGCGAATGTTTACGTAATGTCCAGTATTTCAAGAAAACAAATATCCAAATTTGATCTTCCTCATACAGAATTTCAATATGTGCAAAATAATTAAAAATATACACAAAATGCTACTTCAAAAAATATTTTATTACATTTTATAATAGAATACGATGGTTCGCAAATATCTTTTCAATATTCTATACCAGTAACGAACTATGCGAAATAAGTTTACTTACGCTTAGAACGATAATGTGGCCTTGCACGTTCGAAGGTAAATGGATCGATAATCGCTGAAACGGAAAATTGAATGGCAACAATCTATGAAACAGTTGAAAAATTATAATTTTTTTAAACAGACCGAAATCCTATAAATTTTAGATCGGATTATTATAAGTGAAGAATATAATAACAATATGGACGAAATATTTATAAAATACCCTTTAAGTAATGCAATTTGTAACTAGTTGCTGATATTAATAAAAGTTTTAATCGCCTTTTCGTGCATTCCTGCACATAAAGATTATAATGCTTCCACGATATCGTTTTATGTGAGAGTATACAATGCATACAAGTATTATCTGCAGGTGTTCATGCATTTGTAGTATGTGAAATTGTACAAAATTCAGTATACATTCTATTTGAAATACATATGATGGAATTCTGAACGGGATAAATAAGTTCTGATTTGCTTGTAGGTTGAATAAATTAATTCATAAATTCATATCAATATTTACATATGCAGTTTGCTAAGTGCATTGATTTCATGAATTACTAATCCCTGGTGTCACTCACCTTGTTTACCTTCTTAATTTATACATACGTCTTTGAATATGGCGTTTTATTATATCGCTAAACTGTATACACGTGCATCTTAAATTTTACTCACTGCGCAAATTCGTCATAGGTTAGAGTCTCCGCTGATAAGCGTCTTGAAGAATATGACATAAACTTATTTTTAAGGAAATAGTACTTACAGAATTCCGTGAAAGCTTTCATGCATTAAGGAAAATATTTCTCGACCGCTCTATACATTGCTATAATGTATATTTGGCTTACCATATACTCGTACATGCTCGTAAGTTGCGAGTCGCAACGCACGTGTCATTAATTCAAGTGTCAGTTTGACATTATTTGTGGCTCTTTTTTTCGAACTTGTTAAGTGTAGCAAAATATTTATACAACTTATCGCCTTTGAGAGATTAATTATAAAAAACCACTCACATTAGTTATAAAATCACACTTAGCCATTGTGTATGATAAAGTGTATTCTACTGTAAAAATGTCAAATGAAAAATCTTACGATATATGTTATGAAAATAATTAATTTTTTTACATTATTGTATCGGTGATATTATTATAAATCCCAAAATATTAAATACTTAAAATGTATTTAGACTAAAAAGTTTAAAATATTTCTATAAAGAAATGTATTTTACATTATTTAAAAGTGGTTGAAATACTTAACTGAAGGTATAAAATTATTTGTAAATATATATATATATACATATACTAGATTATTGATAGCAAAGAAATAAGAAACGTCTTGTTTTTTTAAGGGCCCCAAAGAACAAAGCTCAGAAATGTGGTTAACAACTGCAGAAGCTGCCAGTCTTGGCACAGAGGAAATAGCAGCTAGGTTACACGTTGATATAAGAGCAGGATTGTGGTCAGAGGAAGCTGACCACCGAAGACAGTTAGTTGGATTTAATGAATTTAGTGTTAAAGAAGAAGAGCCAACATGGAAAAAATATGTTGAACAGGTGTTTAATTCATTTAATTCAAATTTGAAGTTTCACATTGTCACAGGCAACATTTACAAGAAAAATTAATTTTTCTAGTTCAAGAATCCTTTAATTCTGTTACTACTTGGTTCTGCTTTTGTTAGTGTATGTATGAGGCAGTTTGATGATGCTGTCAGTATTACAGTGGTGAGTATACATAATGATATGTACTGTATGTGAGCAATTTAAATAATTTGATCGTTAATTTTATATAATCCTTTTTTCTAGGCTATCATAATTGTAGTGACAGTTGCATTTGTACAAGAATATCGATCTGAAAAATCCTTAGAAGAATTAAATAAATTGGTGCCACCAACATGTCACTGGTAAAGATCTATTTACTACATTTTCCTAACGAGACTTTTGTGTAGTTCCAAACACTAAACTAAAATTGTTTTCGTAGTCTTTATTTAAATTAACATTTCCTTTAGAAATGTGGTTCTTGGAAGATATAGTAACCCTTTATATGGAACATTCCTTTGCCTTGTTAGGAAAGAAGATATGGTATCCAATTTGAAACATAGATCGATAATGGTGAAATTTACTTCTGTGTAATCTCCACTTAAAAAACCTCAATGTACTTTCACTATCCCAATTTAGGTTCAGGATTAAAGTGATTATTTCTTGCTACACTAATAATGTTAAAATATCAAATAATTCTGTTACAGCAATCATGTCATTATATTTTTCAGCTTACGAGAAGGCCGTTTAGAAACATTTCTTGCTCGCAATTTAGTTCCTGGTGATATAGTTTATTTAAATATTGGAGACAGAGTACCTGCAGATATCAGGATATTCGAAGCAATAGATTTAGCAATTGATGAAAGCAGTTTCACTGGAGAAACTGAACCAGCACAAAAGTCAACTGCTCCATTACTTAAAACTAATGGGTTGACAACAAAGAAAAATATTGCATTTATGGGTACATTGGTGCGCTGTGGAAATGGCAAAGTCAGTTAGATAATATAGAATAAATATCATAATTTGTAAACAGCATAAGTGTACTTAAAAAATTATTTGTAGGGTATAGTAGTCAACACTGGTGAAAAGAGTGAATTTGGAGAAGTTTTTTCAATGATGCAAGCTGAAGAAGCTCCAAAGACTCCTCTACAAAGGAGCATGGATATTTTGGGCACTCAGTTATCCTTTTATTCATTCTGTATTATTGGTATTATTATGCTTCTTGGCTGGATCCAGAGCAAAGCTATTCTTGAAATGTTTACCATCAGTGTGAGTTTGGCAGTAGCAGCTATACCTGAAGGTTTACCTATTGTTGTAACTGTAACTCTAGCTCTGGGCGTTATGAGGATGGCTAAAAGAAAGGCTATTGTTAAAAAGTTACCGACAGTTGAGACCCTTGGTACGTACGTGTGCTACATCATTATATAATATTTATCTCACTTTCTCATAACATTATAATGTCATGCCGTTAATGCGTAGGTTGCGTGAATGTGATATGTTCCGATAAAACTGGTACTATTACGAAAAACGAGATGACTGCAACGATCTTAGTAACTTCGGATGGATATGTGGCTGACGTTACTGGGGCTGGCTACAACGATAAGGGAGAAGTTCGAATTCGAAAGTGCGATAATTATGATGTTGCCCATGCTTCTATTAACCATATGCTAGAAGTAGGATGTGTCTGTAACAATGCCATTATACAGAACGACACTCTGCTTGGTCAACCAACAGAAGGTGCATTGCTAGTATTAGCGATGAAGTATGGAATGTATGGAGTCGCAGATAAATATTTACGCCTACAAGAATATCCTTTCTCTTCGGAACAAAAAATGATGGTTGTGAAATGTACACCAAAGTATGGAGAGGTAAATTAATTTTCTATTATGTGACTTTATATTGTAACGAAGATATCTGACGGATAATATTGTGACTGGTTTTGATGTTACGCATATTATATATGTTATAGAATAGGCAAGAAATATTTTTTGTAAAAGGTGCTTTAGAGAAGATCTTGCCTCAATGTACCAAATATTATGCTAATGGTCAAGTATATTCTCTTAATCAGAAGAAAGATGAGGAGTTCCTAACAGAAGCCTATGAGATTGGGCAACAAGGATTAAGAGGTATTTTTTGATTCTATTTGTAACAAATTACTTGCATTGACTTTCGTTATGTACAATATGTCATTGTTTACAGTACTTGGCTTGGCACGTGGCACATCATTACAAGATCTCATATATGTTGGTTTGGTGGGAATATGTGATCCACCTAGGCCACATGTTCGTGAATCTATAACGACTCTCATTAACAGTGGCGTTAAAGTTAAGTTGGTCACAGGAGATGCCAAAGAGACTGCGTCTGCAATAGGTACGAAATATATTCTATAGCTACACTTCATACCTTTAGTTTACTCGTAACGAGTGTTGTTGACACAATGTATTACAATTGGTAATTTCTATTTCAGCAAGTACGATCGGGTTAGATATACTTCACTCGCGATTAATGTCTGGAGATGAGATTGATTCAATGACTGAACACCAATTGGAGCAATGTATCAATAATGTTAGCGTGTTTTACCGTGTCACGCCTAAGCACAAATTATGCATTGTTAAAGCTTTGCAAAGAGAGGGTAATATAGTGGGCATGACAGGTGACGGAGTGAATGATGGAGTCGCTTTAAAGAAGGCAGACATAGGAATAGCCATGGGTAAAAATGGTACCGACGTCTGCAAGGAAGCTGCGGACATGATTCTAGTAGATGATGATTTCGCAACTATTATGTACATATTTTTGTTTAATTTATTAATAACTTTTTTTTTATTTTAATGTTTATTTATAATTGTGTATTTATTTCAGTGCTGCAATTGAAGAAGGAAAAGGAATTTTTCACAATATACGAAATTTTGTAAGATTTCAGTTAAGTACTAGTATAGCAGCTCTTTCCTTAATTGCTCTTGCCACTCTGATGGGTATACCGAATCCTTTAAATGCAATGCAAATTCTTTGGATTAATATTATTATGGATGGCCCACCAGCTCAAAGGTAATCTTCACAAAAGATAGTTTTTATCACTACTACTTTATTATATGTTGAATTGTTCATTACAGTCTTGGAGTCGAACCGGTTGACAAGGATGTATTGAAACAGAAACCACGTAACACAAAAGAGCCAATGATTACTCGACATCTCATTATCAATGTATTATTGTCAGCTATTATAATTATACTTGGTACCCTGTGGGTTTATAATAGAGAGGTATGAAGTTGTTTTATTAAAAAATTATTGATATTACTTCTAGAATGCTTAACAATTTTTTTTCGTTAGATGGTAAATGGAAATACTGCAAGAGATACAACCATGACATTCACTTGTTTCGTATTCTTTGATATGTTCAATGCTCTAAGCTGCAGATCACAGGTAAGATATTCCAAAATCATTGCGTATTAGTTGATGCTAAACTGAGTTCTAATTTCAGACAAAATCAATATTCACCATTGGATTGTGGAGTAATAAAATGTTTCTGGTAGCTGTGACATTATCAGTAATAGGACAGATGTTAGTGATCTACTTTCCACCATTGCAACGAGTTTTCCAAACTGAAGCTCTCACAGCAAAAGGTATAAATTAAGTATTACACATCTTATATAGTTTTTCTTTCCAACTTTGCGCAACTTGGGAGCACCACTATTGGTTGATTTTAATTATTAATAATTATATAAATTCGAATTTGTAATTTTCAAAATTTTTGGTCATCACTATATATTTTCACTAGGAAACATTTCTTAAATATTCTAAAATATTTTGCCAGACCCCCTATATAATTCTTTATGTTTCCTCTCAATTTACTGACGAAATGTTTCATTCATTTTTTGCAGATATTTTGTTCCTCGTCGTATTAACATCAAGCGTGTTTGTTATCAGCGAGATAAAGAAGTTTATAGAAAGACAGCTGTATAGACGACGAGCAGGTACACAATATTATAATAAATCTGAGATGGATTTCGTATGACAGTTACAGTCTGCCGAAGACAAGGCGGACAAGGATCATATGGAATAAACACCCGGAGAACATCGTACGGGTAGTAGTCGTTCGTTAAATCAACATAATCTCGCTATAATTTGACTATGCTTGCACATTTGTAACTTTATATGTGCACTTGTCACGACGAAAACGAACATAAATCGCGCCCCTTCCCGCGCGCGTCTAATTTAAGATTCAATCACGATTGACTGGCAGTTTTTTAAACGTTTACAAATATTTCTGACTCTTTGATGTACGATAGTCGGTTATTTAAACGTTCTTAGAATTAGCCGTTCTCACTCTCTCACCTTTTACAGTGGTTATTCGACACCTCATAGACACTACTAGCGATGCTACTGCACATTCCACACAGATTCGTTGTAGAAAAATTCGTGAATTTTAACGCTGTAAGCTACTGGTAAATGTACTCTTAGGAATTCAGCATCGAAGAAACATCGTGATCATTCTATTTCACTTTTCTAACTCGCTCGACTAACGAGACCGATTTATCACACCTAGAACACATCCGTTCGTTAATGTTCGGTTTATATCTTTCTTTCGTCGAGATAGAATGTTGTATCAAACGTATTATTTCGAGTAATAAAACGTAATCCAAGACAATGAAACATAAGTTTACAAAATAATCTAGTATACACGAGGCGATTGCATTTGAAAATTGATTATAATTCGATGAATAAACGATCTTGTAATGTTCCTTAAATCTATAACAAGACCCGATGTGTTTCCGGTTACAAGAAGTAACAAGTACTAGGAAAGAATCAAGAATTACATTATATAACAGATAAATCATTATATTATATTATACATATATATATATACAAATATAACTACGCTAAATGTTGTACATTCTGAATGCTTGTGACAATGTTTTCTTGTGATCGGAATCAGAATCGCGTGTGTACTATGTATCACTTTACGAGAAGTTGCATTATCATTTATAAATTTTAGTGCAAAAGATACCCCCTATATTAATGGATTCCGTCAAGAGCACTATAAGTTTTGTATTGGTAAAGTTCTGGCCCTCCATAGCCGTAGAGCAATTTGCCTCTGCCATTTTCATCATAATATGGATAGCGATATTTGGGCCTATAAATAAATGATTAGATAACGATTAGTGTGGAGCTTTCGATTGCATTTAAATTTAAATTGAAGAATCAAAGCTTATAAGAAATGAACTATATAAACTTTTCCTGTATCATAATTTTTTTATCTTAACGAATGAATTACTACATAACATCATAGCATAAGAAACGTAAATATCAATGGAGGAATAATGTGGAAATAAAGAGCTATAGTTTCTTTATATTACACAGGGAATTCCGGAATTCCACAAAAACTTAAATCAAAAATATACAATAAGATATTATATCAGTAGATACAGTAAGTCATGAACAGACAATGTCTACCCAATACATGCGCGCTTCACGATTTGCCACACTTTTTTTATTAAACAGTTTACTTTTTTTTTGTTAAAAAATTTCAAGTCAATGTTTGCGATTAATTTTTTTTAAGAAAAAAATATTCATATTCAATTGTACTAGATAACATTTGAATAACAAAAATTCAAATCTATATTCTCGACTTATTATGCCACAAATACTAGAATATTCTACAAACATAGACCAGTAGCAATAAATATACATAAATAAAAATTCATATTATTATATAATATTTGTTCGAATATAGTTGATAGAACAGGCATTATTTGTATCCACATGCTAAGCGAATAAATGCTTGTATTCCTCAATATATAATATTTTCTATTATCACCTATCTGATATAATTTGTGTCTGTATTTCTCACCGTTCAAAGTATTGAAAATTGGGTGCTTTCGGCTGAGCTATCGTTGCTTCGTTCTCAGCAATTAATCCCATCAGAAACGCGATAATCACTGTCGTAAAAACCACGGTTGTCCACTGAAAAGTAGGTTAACTAACATTAATGTTGAAACTGCAGCTTGCAAAAAATGTGTCTCGTTTAACCGAACTCAATTTGCATGTAACAGAAGAAGAAGCTGCACAGACTTCAGCAAAATAATGTATGAAAGGACGTGAAACAGAAACGCTCCGTGGCATACCCACTGGAAATGGGTCAACTAGACAGACACTTCAACAAAATCATTCTTCTTCGTACTTTCTTACCTTTGCATGTTAATTATTTGATATCATATTTTATATTTTCTATATTTTATTTCTAGTTTCTTTAAATTCATATATTATTTTACTCACAGAAGCTTCTCTTGCCATAACGGTGACTGCCAAGAACGAAAGTTTCGAAAGTTCGTCGCTGCGTGGTACCGTACGTGCGAATTCTTCACCCAAAACAGTTCCTTGGCCGAATCCGCGAAACGGAACAGTTCTACGACGAGAACTTTGAGAAGGCGATCACTGCGACTCGTACAATCGGTCTGTTTCCGTTTTTCTGAATCCGTCTTCGGCCAGCCTTATCCTGCAAACCGTTACCTTTCTTCTCCGCGATGCACCCCTCCACTTCGTTCGCGTCTTCGAGGTGATCAAGTGAAAGTCGGACGAGGGACATCGCACGTACGTACTTTGGACAGGTGTTGCACGTAGGCACTGGGATGCTATGACAATCAGAGGAACCTTGAACACATCGCAACCCTCTGGTTCCCCGAAATTCGTCGAAAGTCAATTACGCGATCAGTGACGACATTTCTCAAGGTCGAGGAAAGAACGAGTACCCTCAATCCGTTATTCGGTTCAAACTATTTCATAGATTCTCGTCCGATCGTAGTCACAAACGAAGGAATTGTAGGAACTAACATTGTCATTGATGATTTTTGTTTATAATTTATTTTCACTTAATGAAAATAAATTGGGGTTTATCGTGAAAAGTAGATAGTATTATTTATTATTATTTATTATTGATTATAATATATAATATATATAATATATATATATAATAATATAATAATTAATACAATATAATATATATTATATATATTTATTATTATTTAGTATTATAGTATTATAATATTATTATTATTATAGTATATATATGCTATATATACTATACTTATGATATAGTATTATTATATATTATTATATATTATTTTTATAGTATTATTATACATTATTATAGTAGTAGTAGTATTTATAAAGGAATAAAATCTTCGAATGGCTTCGGAAAGACGTTGATCCGGAAATGAATTTTAGGTTTCAGAGGCTTATTATTTGCGAAGTCATTGCATAAGATTTGTGTGTTACACAATTGTCTATTGTTCATGATACGCTTTCTATAAGCATAACGGTAAAGATGCAACTTGTTATTTATACAAATTAGTACTCGCGTTGTGCTGGAGCATAGACAAAAAGCATGGTAGGAGAGTTGCTTATATGGGTGACTCCCTATCAATATGTTTCTCTTATGAAGAAGAAGGTATCTTGAAGGATTAATTATATTTACCACATACATAGGAGTATGTACATGTATTCTAAAATCTCGGGTCTATGAATGGAGGCTACGGCGAAGAAACAAGAAACGTCACAAAATAGCTTCACTGAAAAAATTAAGTATTCTTTATTACTATACATAGGCATGCCACGTGTTTGATCAGTACATCAAAATTCTTACGTCTTGCATTATCTTATAGAAATATTCTGAACAATATAATCATTGTAATCTAATAGTTCTGTAGTCTTAATTGTCACAAATAAAATGTTCGACAAAATAGAAAATCACAAGGAATGGACATTGCTCATTTTACTTCTTCCCTTCAAACATAATCTTCAGTAAACCTCACGATATTTATGTTCAGCTAGCATTTATTTATAAATCATTAATTTTTTACAAATTTATTTTCATACAGGCGTGCCCCAAGATCCTTTGTAACCGACGCCCATGCCGTTCTTCGCTATGGCAATCTCACCGTAGCGTCCATTTTCCTGCTCGTATCTGATCCTCCTCTGTTTTCCAACCTCCGGATCGAAATCCCACTCGGTTTTCTGCGCATAGAAACATCACAGATATACTTTACATATTTTCTTCTTATTACTTTATTTCACAGAAGAGAATACTTGCTTCGTGGATCACCGGTGTTCCAACTAGGTTTTGTTGGATGAAATCAGTAAGGAATGTCAAAACGCCGGGATTGGCGACCGACAAGCATGTTTCAGTGTGAAATACCAATAGGACCGATACCACGATCATCTGAAATCAAATTCAAGTTAACTAAATATGTGAAAAATAATAAGAAAATGTTTTGAAGATCACCTCCTGCAAGCTCGGTCATTTAAATGACTTGTGACATTTAAGTGTCCTTGCCGATTATCATGTTATAATTTTGTTAATTCTATCAAAATCCGTGTAGAAAATTTTCGACAACAGTTCAAATTTAATTGATCCAATCATTGACTTTTACATCATTCGAACCATGGCGATATAATCCACTGATACGACCTCGCTCGAATCTTCTACAGCTTCTGTGACGGACCGAAAGCAAAACACTGTGTCCCGTTAATTCTTCAACAACAATTTCCGTATCAACGAATATAATAATAACTACACAATGGTGTATCTACCAAATAGCGAGGGAAATCCATGTCGTAGTTTCTGCTGCTGCTAATCACGTAGCGGTTCGCGCGATCCAACGTCGCCGCGACAAACGTAGAATACCAACTACGTCCGTTTGGCTTGGCTACCAATGTCCGTGTACGCAAGGATAGAATTTACCTGAACTCTGGCGCAACATGTGCCAGTGAAAGTAAAAAAAGGATACGGACGGCCGGGATAACAAGGCTCGAGCCGTTTGAAAAACTATGTCGCGATTTCGTCCGTTGAATGACAATTTCGTATCGATCGGCGATATTCTTTGCACGCCACCTTGCCCCCCTGGAAGGGAGACATAAAGGCGACACGACGAAATGAAAGAACGAATACTTCATTCCGTGTCTCCTTGCCCGAAGGGTCCAGCAGAAAAACTGTTAAACGGATTCAAACGAGAACGTAACATGCGAGCCATCGGTGTCTTGTTAATATTCGTTGTCGCGGTAAGTGATCTGTCTCAGTGATAGGGAAAAAGAGTATAGTTCTTGACACGGTTTCACATGTTCTTATTCGAGTGTGCAGATGTGCGTAGCCGTGGAGCCGACGGTGCAAACGCGAGTGACCAGGACACTGCCTTTCGATTTTTCTCCGTCGCGATTGACGGGGATGTTCCGGACACTTCTGTCGGGAGGCAGACCTTGGGAATGGCCACGGAACAGCCTCGAGGGTCTCATAAGATTGGTGGCTACTCCGGACACCAGGAAGAAGATAACCTTCGTTTTCCGACCCGAGGATGGACCAAGAGCCTCGTTCGATTATCAGAGACGTTACGGATATCGTGGACAGTGGTTGATAGACTTATTGGGTGCTGGATTTCATCCTGATGCGATCTTTCAGCAGCCACTGCCGGCCGCTATTTTGGTACCGCCGCCTCTGTGATCCATCGGTTTCGTGTATTTTAGCGAAATGTGGATAAATAGAGTGCTGCACGATAGACTGATTAAGACGTTTAATTTCTCAGGAACAATATTGTAGATTAACCAAAATACCATATTGAGATTAGTGGAATGATGTTGTGTAAGTTTACAGAAGAAGTGTTAACGAGCTTAGTGTATCCGAGAATTCTGGATCAGAATACTTCGATGCAATCTTCTGAGAGGACTTTGTCTCTTTGCGAAGTTTATACCGTTGGTATAAATCTCTGCAATCGATGCAATAAAAACTCTGCATCGTAATGATGGTTTTAAGTATCTTCACTTCTCTTTTTCCCCTCGGTTTTACCTAACTGTTTCATCTGTATTTGCTAGGAGAAGGAGGACTGTGACTTCTAATTCAGAAGTCAGTCTTGACGTGAATCAATGTATAAGACAAATAAATTAATGATCTTTTATACATGACGTATCTGATATCTTTGAATCACTTGGATTATTGTGGTATTAGTGTTATTACATACATTTAATAAAATGTGGCGAATATAGCCAACTAACAAATTTTGAACGATATAGACGACTACTAAATAACGACGTTCGTTAGTTCACGCAAACTAGTTCATAGAATTTTTCAAGCACAGCCTGCCAGATTCATAAAAGAGTCACTTTAATGAGTTATTGGGTTTTCATATTTTTTTACAGATGTTCTGGTAAATATTATTTTACAAGCTCTACTAATTTGTTGACTCTACTAATTTACAGAGTTCTGTATGCAGATCGTTCCAGATCTGAAGGTTTCGTTTTTAATATACAAATTGTGTGTGAAATGTTTCACGAGATGTGTCACGCAAAAGTGGTATTCAATTAATCCATGATTAAACAACAAAATAAAGTATAATATAAAAAGATAAAGAAACAGGTGTGACCATCTATGTTAAGGGTTACATATACGTAGGGGTTATAAGCTTTGCTATTTCATAACTAGATGGCAGCAAGATTTTATTTGATGAAAGCATAAATGAGGTATCAGATTACTTAGTTGGAATTAAGTATCTGTATACTTCATTTTAATTACCGATTAAGATAATTTGTTCGTATCAAATACTGGAGGAATTTTTGAACTTTTGAGGGCTTAAATCAAAGCTGGAGGATCAAAAATGCTAAATCATATAAAAAAAATCGATATTTGAACTTGGAAATAAATAATTCGATCAAAAACAGAAGCAAAACTAGAAATGAAGCATACAAAATATACTCGATTTTTAAGAACATCTTTCGACATTGAGTACACAGTATACTCGATTTTTATTAACAAGTCAGTCACGAATTTAAGCTGAAATATTGAAAAATAAAACTGTAAATATTTGACAAACAAACGCCACAGTTCTAATGGTCTAAAGACTGGCTACAAATCAGTGAAATTTTCAGACAATTATGCGATATTTTCTCATGTTTCATATCAGTTTGCAATGCTTGTGCACATACTAGCATTGAAATCACCAAAATGGGATTATAAAATTCTTTTTATGTATGTTCCTAGTTATGTAAATCGATGGAAGGATTACAGGAAGCGATTAAAGATATTGGCAAGTACATGGATGAAACAAAAGTTGAGACCGATAATTGTTTAAATCCTATGTTTGTTTCATCACAATTATTTACATCCGGAAGATATTCAAACATTTCCCTTCTTTGGTAATTCTACTATTATTACTGTTGTGAATTGATAAATTCTCTGAAGTAGTAAGCTTGTCGAACTGGCAATGCTCCGCGAGCTACCCAGCCCAAAACATCAAATAGTCCGTTCCTCTACTACGTCATCCGTATCTTACTGCATGCTTTAATGTTGTAGTATAGTAAATTTTACTATTCAAATTTGATTCAAAATCGTTCCTCGTCTTTCAACTGCCCATAAGTTGGAAGCAGTCATGATAGCCAGTTGTTTCGCCGACATTAATTGCATCTAGTCCATAACAACTAGATTTCAATGAAATTATCAGCACGCATATAAGTTCCAGAGAACTATAACATCCATTGTTTGAATTTTCGTTGTAGACACAAATTGAAAAGTTAAATGGAAAGACATTTTTATTTTGTTATCACTTACACCAATTGCAAATTTCACAAAAATTGCTTTACATATTGTCCAGTAAACTGATCCTTTTAATATTTCAAAATAAATCAAGTCGTTCGATCTAATTTTAGAAGAGGTACACCGTTCTAAAATGAACGCCTCCCTTTTCTCAATGACTGCACATTCGATTTCGATATTGCAAGGATCTAAACGGCGAACTGCTATGTAAAGTCGAATCCAAAAGAATTAGACGTGCCAAAAGTTCCAGAAATTCCAGAAGGTCCAGAAGTTCCGAATGTTCCGAATATTTCGAATGTCCCGAATGGTCTGAATTCTCTGATTATTCTGATTGTTCTGATTGTTCTCATTGTTCTTATTATTCTGATTGTTCTGTTTGTTCTGATTGTTCTGATTGTTCTGATTGTTCTGATTGTTCTGATCGTTCTGATTGCTCTTATTATTCTTCTTATTGCTCGTATTGTTCTTATTATCTTTCTTATTGCTCTTATTGTTCTTATTGTTGACATTCTCTTCATACTGCATTACTACATCCAACAGTATTCAACAGATGTCACGAATATCGTACAATTTTAATTTGGATTCTAATCTTCATTTCCATCTTAATCTTAATTTCGCATTTGCTTTGTTAATAATGTTTTTTCGTTTTGGTACTAATACATGGCTATTGCTAATTTATTAAGGGTTATTTTTTTAAAACGCGCTCCTGCATGTAAATTCTATTTCTATAATTTGCTACAAATGGTGTGTAAATGGTTTGTTTTTGTACAGTCTGAGAACAATCTACTAACGAACTGCGGACGGCCTACTTTTAGACATTTTAAAGACGCCCATAAGACGTCTTGATTTGTAACACAGGACGTTTCTAGGCCGTTTGTAAGCCATTCGTCGGCCATTCATAAGATGTTCAGAACGTCTTAAAGACGTCTTTGTGCTATCTGGGTAGAACTTGGGTCACTGTCTAGGGTGGCATAGTGTAGTCCTCTTCTGTCTTTTTGTGGCCAAGGATCGACTCCGCGAAGCTAGCAGCCTTCACCTACTCGTCCTTGCTCTTCTGCATCAGGTTCTCGATCTTATCGAGACTGATTTATCCAATGTACTTCTCCAATCTTCTTCTGTCTGTCTTTCACCGTCCACATACAAAGAACGTATCGAAGATATCGCCTATGGAAGCTTCACGGCAGATACAGCCTAGTTCCGTTACTTTCTGTATTTTGTGCAAATAGGCATGAAAAAACTTGCTCCTCGTCATTAACTGAGTGTCGTTATCTATCGCTCCCATCTGATCTGCCAGGTAGCAGTTTCGATGACATATAGATTATAATGTATGAATATTTATTGAGAACAATTTTAAATATTAACAGACATAACGTTTGTATTCAAAAAGAAGAACACGTGCATATATAATTTCATTATTGAAATAAAACATGATTTCTTACATGTATTCATTAATTTGACTGATAGAATAATTTAAAATTTGTATGTATTTCTAGACATTTCTCAGCTATAAGAAACGATAAATCAGGACAACAGTTCAATGAACGCGATTTTATTTATTATTAAATATTCATAACATCGCTTGTTTTCCTCACATGTAATCTCTACAAAATATTATATTGGAAAGATTACACTGATTATATTGGAAGAAGTAGAGGCAAGGTGTGCGCAAGGTTACCTAAACATGAACGTCAGAGGTCCTGACAGAAGTTTCACCTCTGGTATAATACTCTGTGCATGCGTGTGTACTATGTACACATCAATGACGTAATTCCGGTCGCATGTGTATTTAGCATTTCGAGTTTCTGTAGCTTTTCATGGAACATTACCACCGTACGCATGCGTACTAAAAGTTGATTTTCAAAAAAGGCCCTAGTTCCGCCACTGTAAGAAATCTTTTACATTTGCATATAAATTGTTCATATTATAAATTTCTTTTCCAAAATTAATATTATTTTATTGTTCTATAACACACTGTAGACAAAATTAATTATTACTAAATATAATTAATTATCATTATTATTCTATTATTATCTATTATTCTTCTATAATACACACATAGATACTACATGGATCAGTAATAATCTAATTTCTCTAATGACAAAGATAACGATGAAAATTCTTCCATTTTTACTAAAAATTAATTTCCTTCGACTCTTTATGATAAAAATCGGTGTTAGCCTGAACGAGGTATAGATTATTTAGTAATCGGCGAGGAATCTGCCGCGGAGCCATTGTGATCTGGAACATCGAAATGACAAAAACAACTTTCTCTCATCGTCAGGGAACGTCGATTTTCGTTTTGGCCTCGTTCCAACGTGGAGGTCGTGTTACCATCACACGAGAAAGACTAGTCACCGACCTTTCTCAATAAGAATTCAGTAATGTCTGAATATGGAACAGTGATTCTCTCTAATTTTGTATTCATTGTCCAAGCTCTTGACCTATATCTGACATCGCGTTCATCATTTCGCACGCCCTATTCAGACTTAAAATTAATCGACGACATCAGGTCCTACGAATATAATATCATATCTCAACGTTCGATCAATTCGAACGTTTGTTATTTCAATCGACAATGACTCGCTCATTTCTTATACAAATAAATGTGCGCACCTTCTTTCGACTGTTGCGAATCATCCAGTAATCCTCGCGCAATGTTAAATGATCACAATCTCTCTGCACATCTTCATAACTGGAAAAGAAACATTAATTCATCGCACTCGAAGCTACCGAATCTCCGCGACGCAGACATTTCTTCTGACCTAATATCTTCGCTTCACGTCACCGCTTCCATTCCGCTTATACGAAATTAAGTGCATTTGCTCGTACCGCATTCAAGTTTCCAGCAATTTATTAAATACGAACAGATTTAGGAATGTAAACATTGTCGTGAATTACGGTGTGGCAATTTTGAACAACGTCTCAGAGTCGCCACTCCAGTGCAAAGGGTTATTACTGCTTAGTACATAAAATCCAGGACATGCAATGTCGCATGCAATGTTAGATTAATCGTCGCAGTCGCTTCGATCAGCCTCATAAATCATCGGACTAGCTAATTCCGTTTCTTATCTCGTATGCCCATTCCGGTTCAGAAGATTCTTAATCGTTAATTAATAGCGACCGTCCGCGATCCCCGTCGTCGTTCTCCGGGCATGGCGAACGTTTAAAAGAGCGTTGGTGCTTCTCGCGTAATTGGACGCTGCGTAGCTCATCCTTTCGCCGGCTCCCAACGGAGAATCGTTACGATTTACGACAACCTCTCTCGCGGTTGCTTTCACGCAGAAAACGGTACCGTTCCCGTGGAGCGACACGATCGTCCGGAATGCACAGGGAAATGTTTATTGATGATCGTTGCGTCACCCAACGATGCGCTCGT